ACAAAAGAGGTTGTCCAAGGCCAGTGGCAAAGAAATCTGCCTGGAACACCTTAGCTAGAAGTGGCTCTAGCTCTGTTACATCCCTTCCCTGTTAGACTGGGCCTCCTTGATTGAATAGCACCCCCAGCATCACCCTAGAGTCAGTGCCAGGTGACTGGCTACCAGGCTGCCTAAACAAAGGCCACAAAAGAAGATCCAGACATGTGAATAAGCTACTCTGAGGTCCTGACAACTGAGAGGGCATTGGCTCTATGGCCCAGGGTCCATTTTTTCTTGCTGTCCTCCATGGCTGCCTGTACCTCTGGCTTGGGTCAGGCACTGGGGTAAGGTGAAAACAGTAAAAAGTCAGAAAGCGAGTGCTGAGCCTCTCTCATATGTATAGCCTCACACGAACTCCACTCTGTCCTTGCCTGGAGAAGTGTGGGCACTGGGTCTTGGTGCTTGATCTGGCACTGTGGGAAACCTGATCTCAGCCCTTACTTAGCCTTTTATTGGAATAGACATTTTCCTAACCTCCTGAGCCATCCATTGGTCCTGGACAGAAGACATCCCTGTACTTTGCTCATTAGCATCTTACCTCATAAGCCAACCAGCAAGATAGGGCCTTGAGCCCAGCACACTTGGATGATGACATGGGGGAAGGTTTGAGGAAGGCTGGCCTCTGGGCCTGGATACTTTATATGTGTAATTGTGATGAGGATGGATAGCAAGGAAGTCTCTCCCACATGACCCTCACGGCCTCCGTGTCACCTGTCCTCTAGGTGGGACGCTCGTCCCTGCTGGTGGGGAATCTCAAGAAGAAGTATGCACAGGGGTTCCTGCCTGAGAAACTTCCACAGCAGGATCACACCACCACCACTGACTCGGAGATGGAGGAGCCCTATCTGCAAGGTGGGCATCTCAGACCCCAATCTCTCAGCCTTCCATCGTGCTGGAAAGGCAGACCTCACACACTTCCTCTCTTGGTGTCCCCAGAGGAACTCTGAGCCAGCAAGTCTGTAAACATTTCCCCCTGTGCCTCCTCAGCCTCCTTCCCTTAAAAACAGGGATGTGGAAATCAGGGGAACCATGTGTCATTTGTTCCCTCAACCCCCATCCAGCCAACCACAGGATTCCAAGAGTGGCTTTTCCTCTGGGAATCATTGGCAAGTTTTAGGTGTGACTGTAGGAGCACCCCAGGCGAGTCCTGCCCTTCATCCTTGCCTTGAAACTGGGGCCAGCTCTGGGGATGGCAGAGACCAGATAACGCTGCGCTTTCCCATGAAGCACTGACAGGGCTGCACAGTTGCAGAAGTGTGGGCTCCTGGGGTCTGCCATTGGGTCAGCAGCCAGCTAGCTGCATAGATCAAGGTGGGGTGATGCCAGCAGAGCAGCTGTGACAACATCCAGAGTATTTCCTGGGGGCTGCTGCTTTCTTCCATGGTCATTTGATCCTGACTCTTCCCCACCTGTGTTTTAACTCAGACTCAGAGCACTTGGAAGAAAAAATGTCGAGTATACAAGGGGCATCCCCAGACACCTTTGAATACATTCCAGTGGGGGGATCCAGTGGCATTTTCCACACTAGACTGCTGTTGCCTGTCACAGCTGTGGCAGCAGGAGGACCAGGCAGGATGGAGTAGGGAGGCCCTGCGTTGGGGCTGTCCACAGTGCTGCAGGAATTTCTCATTCTCCACCCTACCCATTTCTATACCTTTCAGAATCCAAAGAGGAGGGTGCTCCCCTCAAACTCAAGTGTGAGCTCTGTGGCCGAGTGGACTTTGCCTATAAGTTCAAGCGTTCCAAGCGCTTCTGTTCCATGGCTTGTGCAAAGAGGTGAGTGGCCCCAGCCCCCCCATTTCCTCAGGACTGCACCTTTGTATCCTGCTTTTCTAACCCTCCTCCTGCCATTAATAGTCCACCCCCGGAGGCCCATAGGGTGGCTTCTCCAGTTTCCTACTTCCTCGATCCACCTGGAAGCAGGATCGCATCCCTAATTTAACAAGCATGAGAAACCAGAACTCCTAAGAGCAGGTGGGAGAGAGCAGCAGAGAGTCCAAGGAAAAGCCACAGCGCTTTGGCTCAGCTGGCCCTCCTGGCCCCATTTGCACTCATGCTCCTTTCCTAGCCTTGACAGCCCCTGCCTTGTTAGGGTAAGCTTTGCCCAGAACCACAGCACTGACTGTAGCGTTCCCTTGGTGAGCTCTCTCCCAGCTTAGAACACTAACAGTCATCATAAAAACCACTGTCATTTCCTGAGAACCTGCTGTGTGTTAGTCACTGTGCCAGTTAATTGATACGATTATCTCATCTTCAAAATAACTCCCAAGCCAGGTAAAGGTTGTCCCCTTTATGCAGGTTAGGGGACTAAAGCACAAAGGAGTAGTAGTGCCTAAAATGACATAGCTGATAAACCGTAGGCCTGGGAATTTCGGCTTGTCTGATTCTAAAGCCCTCTGTGGTCTTTGTACACCACTGTGGAAGCAGCAGCTGACCTTGAAGCCCTGAAATCCCAGAAGAGAAGAGATCTCTAGGTCCAAGGCAGAGGTGCTCTGCATGCCAAGCTAGAGTTCAGCTTTCTTCAGCCCTCATTCCCCTCAGGCTGTTGGGGCAGTCAGGGCACCTTTTCAAGCTTTGCCAGGCCACCCCCCAGCGGGACAGTGGATGGTAGTTTCCCAGCGCAGGGTAACAAGAGCTGTGAGCTCTTGTCCTGGTCCAAGTCCAGGTGTCGTCTCAAACATTTTACAGACATTATCTCATGTTGTAAGACCAGTCCCAGAAAGTGAGTGGTATTACCCCCTACTCCAGATAAAGAAACGGAGGCTCAGCACTTAAGTGACTTAAACCCAAAGTCACACAGTTAGGAGTTAGGATCTGAACCAATAGATGGACACAAATCTTGTCAGACAGCTTGGCTGTGCTCATTCTGCCAATGGCCCATAAGCACATTGACTGCTCTGATGTCCCCTTTACCCATCCCTGAAGGTACAACGTGGGATGCACCAAACGGGTGGGACTTTTCCACTCAGACCGGAGCAAGCTGCAGAAGGCAGGAGCTGCAACCCACAACCGCCGTCGGGCCAGCAAAGCCAGTCTGCCACCACTTACCAAGGATTCCAAGAAGCAGGTAAGAGGCCGGCAGAGCCTGAAGCTCCATCCCCACAGCTTCCCTTCCATGGCCCTCAGCACTGCTCCAGCTGCTGACCTCAGCGCACTCTGTGTGCTCTCATTCCTTGTAGACCTATCCAGTCGTCTTCCTACATCCCAGTAGGTCCCTTCATTTAGACCCACGGGTGCTTACAAGGTTCCCTGCCCCCTTCCGTGGCCTTGCCTCAATCCCACCTTCCAATTTGCTTCCATCCTTGACTTCCGGGGCCAAGGAAATGGAATCTCCCCTGAGCTACTTAGGTAACCTCCTGCCTTACATGGAGGGCTGGGTGAGAAGGCATCCTCCAGCCTTGTCTTGCCACCTTTTTGCCTCCCCGAACACAAGAGCACTGAGTTCTTGAAGGTGTCTACCAGGAATATGGGTATTCAGTTGTTAAATACTTTTTGGCACCAGCTGTATTCCAGGAACTCTGTTAGGCACTGGGCTGTAAGGACACAGTCTCACCCTAAAGGAACTCCACAGCCTGGTGTGATGTTTCATAACCTTATATATATTTTCCCTGTTGTTTTTGTCTTAAACCTCTTTAAGAATGGTCCAAAGATGTGGTCCAATTTTACATGCTATTTCGAGTGGCTCTATGGTCACTTCCTGGAACACACAGTGCCCTGCTTTAAAACCCATGTCTGGAAAAGGAGATAACTGCAGTACTGTGTGGGACAAGCTACACTAGTGAGAAGGACTGACGCTGCCGAGGGTAGAGATGGGACAGCATGGAAGATGCAGGTCAGTCTGGGAACTCAGATGTGTAGGACTAGGCCAAGTAGAAAAGGGAGAATTACCTGCCTTTGTCCATCACTGCTGCTAGAGATGGTTTGTTCCCCCATCATGAGGAAAATGTTCTCTCTGCTCCCAGCCAACAGGCACTGTGCCCCTTTCAGTTACTGCTGCTTTGCAGCTAACACACAGCCAGGAAGACTCCAGCCGTTGCTCAGATAACTCAAGCTATGAGGAACCCTTGTCACCCATCTCAGCCAGCTCATCTACTTCCCGCCGGCGACAAGGCCAGCGGGACCTGGAGCTCCCCGACATGCACATGCGGGACCTCGTTGGCATGGGACACCACTTCCTGCCAAGTGAGCCCACCAAGTGGAACGTAGAAGATGTCTACGAATTTATCCGTTCTCTGCCAGGTAAGGCCCTTGGGAATCCCGTCTCCCTGGAATGGCAAGGAAAGAGCGAAAATAAGAGCCCCCTCCCACCACCAGGAGGATTAGGTAGTTCATTTAATGACTCAGGTTCAGGAACTGGGGTGCAGAGATGAGTGAGATGAGCTTCCTGCCTGTAGACTATAAATAATATTCCATGGCTGTAATTCTGTATATTTTCTGGCATGGTAGATGGTCTGTGTGAAATACAGAGATGATAATACAGTTAATTCGGTCTCTCTCCTGGGACAGGTTAGGAGGGGTCAGGTGGAGTGTAGGAAATGTGTTGAGAACATCAATATTAAGAAAATAGCCGGGTGTGGTGGCTCACACCTGTAGTCCCAGCACTTCGGGAGGCTGAGGTGAGAGGATTGCTTGAGGCTAGGAGTTCGAGACCAGCCTGGGCAACATAGTGAGACCTGTCTCTACCAAAAAACACATTATTTTTTTAATTTAGAAAATGTGAACTTAATGACAGTAGACAAGTATGCCTTTGCTGGATGGAGAGACTGCAGGAGGGTGCACGTGCAGAGGCAGGAAGATAGGGAAGTCTGTGACACAGCCAGGCATGGCACAGAGCCCTGCGTCCTAGAGCACAGGTGGTGGTGAGGCCCAGAATCTAGGAATCAGCTGTAAGAGGCAAGCCTTACATCACTCACAATGCCTTCAGTGGGGCTGGATGCATTACTCTTTTTCTGCCAGTCTCACTCATTACACTGACCAGGTCAGGTATTGATGGCAACCACAAGCCTCTTTCTCAGCGACTGCAATGTGGTTAAGAGCACAGACTTCTGAGGCACACTGAACTGGGTTCAAATTCTGGCTCTGTCACTTAACCCAATGTGTTAGCTCTTCATCCCCCAAATTTGTTATTATACAGTTGCTGTGGGTAAGGAATTCAGGAGTGGCTTCCCTAGGCAATTCTGCCGCAGGTCTCTTATAAGGTTGCAATTAAGATATCAGCCAAGGCTGAGGTCATGTGAATACTGAAGAGCTGAAGATGGGGTTTCACTATGTTGGCCTCACATGATTTGCCCTGTGGGCTGGCTGTTGGCAAGAGGCCTCGATTCCTTCCACCTGGGCCTCTCCAGAGGGCTGCTTGAGTGTTTTCATGATATGCATGGCAGTGGGTTGTCCCCACAGGTAGGAATCCCAGAGAGCAAGGTAGAAGCTACTGTGGCTTTTACGATCTAGCCTCCGAAGCCACGTACCGCCATTTTCACAATATATATATTTTTTTAATTATAATTTTCACAGTATCGTATTGGTCACACAGGTCAGTCTTACTCATTGTGTGAGGAGACTCACAAGGGTATGAATAATCCTTGCTGGGAAGGACTATTAGGGGCCATTCAGAGACAGGCCACGTAGTTCACCATGGCTCCCAGAAATTTATGTTCCTTCCTCATGTAGAATTGCTCGCCCTGACCAAATTCCCAACAGTCTGGTCCCATGACAGCATCAATTTGGAGTTCATGCTGTCATCATTGAACCCAGGTCCAGGCATGGATGAGGCTCCTGGGGTCCAGTTCTTCCAGTATGGGTCCTTTCAGTCTGAAGACCTGAGAACTAGAGAGAGAGGCTATCTGCTCCCTTCCACGAACCCAGTGCACAGTGGGACAGCCATAGGATAACCATTGTAAACATTCCCATCGAAAAAGGGAAGGAACGGAGCATACAAGAGTCATTGATCCCTTCCAGTTCTGAAATCTGCTAAGGATGGTGGCAGTTTTCCTCAGGACTCAAAGCCTGGGAGTGACTTCTCTTGGCTCTGCCCTCCGAGTCCTCCTTCCTTTTCTGTATTTTCGGTATGGTTGTTTTCTCAGCCTACTTCCTGCTGCTTTTTATATTGCCTTTGACTTTTTTTTGAGATGGAGTCTTGCTCTGTCTCTTAGGCCAGAGTGCAATGGTCCGATCTCAGCTCACTGCAACCTCTGCCTCCCGGGTTCAAGGGATTCTCCTGCCTCAGCCTCCCGAGTAGCTGGCATTACATGCATGTGCCACCACGCCTGGCTAATTTTATATTTTTAGTAGCGATGTGGTTTCATCATGTTGGCCAGGCTGGTCTCAAACTCCTGACCTCAGGTGTTCCACCTACCTCAGCCTCTCAAAGTGCTGGGATTATAGGCATTAGCCTCCGCATCTGGCCTACCTTTGACTCTAAAATCAGTAATTCAGTATTTCTTAAAATAATTGTGAGTTTTCTGGGAATCTTGTTGGGCTCCATTCCATTAGACAAAAACCACACCCAGAATTATCTTCAAGATAAGCCATTGTCTGCACTGGGCTTCTTCTGAAGTTGAGGGACAGCATGGAGGGTGCCCTTCACATTCTTAGAAACCCTGCTGTTCAGGAGTAGATCTGTGAGGAAAGCCTAGATAATCCTTGGAGAGCCTTTGGATTGAATAGCCCTTTGAGGCATCACCTTAGATCTTTCTGAGGTCTTGACAAAAAGATTTCAGTCACATCCTAAGTTGAATCTGTAGACCTGTAGACCATGTTTTTTTTTTTTTTTTTTTTAATGGTGCCCTGAATTTGATCTTTGCCTAGAAACCATTTCTTAATTTTAGCATCGTGTGCCATCTGGAGAGGCTGGGCGTTTTTAAAACCGGCAAGTCCCAGTTCCTTTATGTTGAACAGTTTTGTTTGTTTTTACCTCCTCACTGTCCTCTCTTACTTTACTGTGAGCAGCAGCAAGAAGCCAAGGAACACCTTCCACATTCTGCCTGAAAATCTCCTTAGCTAGACCACCCACTTCATGAGCTACATTCAACTTACATTTCTGCCACCAACCACATTTTTACAAAATGTTCTGCTGTTTCATAATAGAGACCATTTCTTCCAATCTCTACTAAGAATTTCCTCACTTTCCTTTAGGCCTCCCCAGCAGCTTCGCCAAAGGCCACGAGTCTCTCTCTCAAAGCACCTTAGACACTCACACTTTACACAAAGTCCTTCCAAGCTCCTCCTTGAGGCCAGTTCCGAGGCCGCACCCACATCGATAGAGCTGTTTTATGGCAGCACTCCTTTTCCAGGTACCAGAGTCTGCATTAGTTACCTATTGCCATGATATAAATTACTCCAGAACTCTGTGGCTTGAAGCAGTAATCACTTGTCGTCTCAAGGGCCCTGTAGGTCAGGAATCTTGAGTGGCTTGGCTGGACAGGCCTGGTGTGAGGCTCCTGGGGTCCAGTTCCGCCTAGTCTGAAGACTTGAAAACCAAAGAGAGAGGTTATCCACTCCCTTCCACAAACCCAGTGTATGAATTTGAGCTCATAGGAGGTCTCAGGGAAGACACCATCCAGGGCTGCAGTGTCTGAAGTCTGGAGCCCGAGGACCCACTTCAAGCATGGTTCACTCACAGCAAGGGGGACGGGGACCACCAGGGCCTTGGCCGCTCTCCACGAATGTCTCTCCAGAGGGCTGCCGGCGAAGCTTACTAGTAGCTGGCTTACTCTGCGGTAAACCACCCAAAAGAGCAAGGCGAGAACTGCTGTGCCCTTTATGATCTAGCCTCAGAAATCACACACTGTCACTTCCTCAGCACCTTAGCAGACATGGGTCTGCCCAGTTCACGGAGCAGGGGTGTGAACGGGCACGTAGGAGGAGGCCCGGATTGTGGCTGCTGTGGGTAAGGCGTCCAGCCTCTCTCAAGCTGCACAGTAAAAACAGCAGTGCCTTCCTCAAGGTGTGGTTATGAGAACTAAAGGAGATAAAGCTTCTGGATGCAGTGGCGGCCAGAGGGGAACACTGGCAGCTCGATTGATACTGTCTTTGGTGGTACCCCCTCAGGCTGCCAGGAGATAGCTGAGGAATTCCGTGCCCAGGAAATCGACGGGCAAGCCCTGCTGCTGCTCAAGGAGGACCACCTGATGAGTGCCATGAACATCAAGCTGGGGCCCGCCCTGAAGATCTACGCCCGCATCAGCATGCTCAAGGACTCCTAGGGATGGCGGCAGCCAGGTTTCTGGCCCAAGGCGCCTCCCGACTGAGCAGAACCAGACAGACATTCCTGAGGGGCCCAGAAATGGGGCCAGTCGGAGGGCAGGGGCTCTCCCTAGGGGCGTAGCTGGTGAGGAGGTCTGGGCACCTCCTCCATGGCTCTCAGGGGCCTTTCATTTCTGTGGGAGGGGCAGAGAGGTAGGTGGCACAGAAGATGGGGCTTTATGCTTGTAAATATTGATAGCACTGGCTTCCTCCAAAGTCCCAATACTCTAGCCCCGCTCTCTTCCCCTCTTTCTGTCCCCCATTTTCCAGGGGGTATATGGTCAGGGCTCCCCAACCTGAGTTGGGTTACTTCAAGGGCAGCCAGCAGGCCTGGATGGAGGCCTAGAAAGCCCTTGCCTTCCTTCCTCCCACTTCTTTCTCCAGGCCTGGTTAACTCTTCCGTTGTCAGCTTCTCCCCCTTCAGCCTGTTTCTGCAGCAGCCAGGGTTCTCCCCCCTACACCCTCTGCAGAGAGAGAAGCTGGGCCCAGCCAGGCCGTGCCTGCTGGCACAGACGCCTTAACGCTGTGTGTATGACTGTGTGACTGTGTGGGAGCCTGGACTGACAGATAGGCCAAGGGCTACTCTCTGGCATCTCCAGGTGTTTTGTAGCAAACAGCCACTTAGTGCTTTGTCCTGGACTCCACTCAGCCTCAGGATGGGGAATAGCCAAGAACGGCAGCCTCAGTGCAGAGGCAAGGTCAGAAAGAGACGGCGCTTCCGAGTTTCCTTTCCAGACACCCCTCCCCGCACTGTGAAGTTCCCCTGACTGCCCTCCTGGTTCACAAAGAGCATTAAGAAAGCTGTGGTGGGCTGGGCCACATAGCCCAAAGGGCTGAGCCTCCTGGCCTGCCTGCCCATCCACCCTTGGAGTCCCAGTGGTGGGGCCTGGAGAACTGAGGGGAGAGAACAGCTGGAGTTTCTGTTGATGTGAAGAAGGCAGCTCTTGGCCTTCCACTCCCACACTTCTTTGCCTGTGTTTGAGCTACCTGAGGAGGAGACAGGGCAGGAAGGGCGAGGGTCTGCCTCTGACCTGCCGTGTCCTTTGCAGGAAGGGGGTAGGCACCTTTCTGAACTTACTCTATTCCCCACCCACTCCCCCAGGCAGGGTTGGACATGAAGGACTTTTTTAACCTTTGTTTTCATTTTTAAAAAATAAATCTGTAAAATCCGTCTCTTGGGTGCCTTTCTCCCCTAGGAATCCCTATCTCTGAGCCCAAATGGCTACTTTCACCCATATGGAGATGGGTGGGTCCCTGGGCTGGGGAAGGGACCTTAAGTGGACAACATATCCTCCACACTTTGCTGGGTCTGGGTCATTTGAGGGTGCCCTCAGCTTCAGTTCACATGGAAGAGTAGATACCAGTTCTTTACTTCACACAGTGTCCCTTGGAGTGAGAGGGTCCAGAAGCCCTTTCTGTTCTGTGCCACCTTACCTGCCGTTCCCACTTGGGAGATGACTGCTGGGCTAGCAGCCTCTAAACACCTGGGGCAGAACCCAGACTCTCCGATCTTCCAGCACACACCTCTGGATAGAGCTGCCTGGTGTCCAGAAGAGCCTTGGGAGGGCTTTGGTTCACTAAGCACTTTTGCATGCTTAAATAGAAAATGATTAGGACAGAGATGAGGCATCTAAGCCTTGAATAAAGGAGAAAGGGCATTCCAGACCAAGGTAGTAAGTGCAAAGGCACAAGCATGAACATGGAAGTGCGAATGAGGGACAGGTGAGCTGGCCCTGCTGCTGCTGAAGGAGGGAGGACGACCTGACGAGCACCATGAACATCAAGTAGTGAGAGGAACTAGACATGTGCTGCTAACAGTGGCCTGTGCTGACCACATGCCTCTGAACCAGGCACTGTGCTAGAAATGAGGCTGGGGGTGAAGTACAGAATAACCATGTGCCCTCTTGCATGGAATGAAATCTACCCCACATCTGAGCAGGGGAAGGGAAGAAAGGGGCAGCTTGGCCTCACTGCTCTTCCCACTTAATCAAGTCTTTACTTAAAGCAGCATTTCCACCTGTTAAAAATGTAGGTTATGGCCACTCACATCTGTAAACCCAGCACTTTGGGGAGGCCAAGGTGGGAGGATTGCTTGAGGCCAGGAGTTTGAGACCAACCTGGGCAACACAGGGAGACCCCATATCTTCAAAACAAAACAGGCAAGGTGGTGCGTGCCTGTAATTCCCCGCTACTCTGGAGGTTGAGGCTGGAGGATTGAGGCCAGGAGTTCAAAGCTGCAGTGAGCTATGACTGCACCACTGCACCCCCAACCCAGGTGACAGAGCAAAACTCTGTCTTTAAAAAGGGGAGGGTTTGAGGGTCAGGCCACAGCCTACTGAATCATAATCTCTTAAAGGATGATTACATGCAGGAACTTCCACGAATCAACACTCACATCTTGATAACTCCTCTTTGGAAAGCCTGTTAAAATGTAACTTTCTTGGAAGAGAAACAGACTGATTAGTTATCCCCCAAGGGTAGAACTAGGGGCTGGAAAGCCTGGTACCCCAGGAGGCAGGGAATGGCTAGCAGGACCCTGAGCTGACAGGGTGCTGAGGAGGGTGCTGAGGTTGGGGAGTGGGCCCTAGGGAGCCCCCAGGTAAGAATATCCCATGTGCTGCCTCCTCTCCTGCTGCTGGAGTGCAGGCCACGTGCGCAGGTACACCACTGGCCTATAGGACTCTGGGCAGTTATTTTCGCTTTCTGGACCTTAATTTTCCTTTTATGGAAGAAAATGAAAACCAGGATCCACCTGAGTTTGTTATGTGTGCAGCAAAGAAGGAGGAAACCAAACCTACTCCTAAAAGATGTGGCGAATCTGATTCACACCAATTAGTATCTATCTGCTTTAGATGAAAAGCTCCAACCTACTGCAAGTTTGCAGGGTGCACCTGCAATAGGCATTTGCTATTCCTGTTGTTTACACTTTACACTGAATTTCACAAACCTATTTCCATCATGATCCACAAAGAAATATTTCCCAACCTTGTATACACATTTAAATATCTATCAACTGAAACAAACTTTTCATGAAACAAAACCTACACTTATGTACAATACAGAATATTTTCTTCTCCATTGTATTCCTGTTCATATTTTTTAAATCTTGGTCATGACCCACTAAACTCATTACACAGCCCTCAGATAGGTCACAACTCAAACTTTGAAAAGCACTGCCCAGAGTAAACCACAACGATTTGACATCTGTGATCTTATGCGGTTCTCTCTCCTGGGTGACTGGTGTACGTACACCATTCTACTGTCAAGTGTGTCACTCATGTGAAGAGACCACCAGGCAGGCTCTGTGTGGGCAACAAAGCTGTTTATTTCACGTGTAGGCGCAAGCGGGCCAAGTCCAAGAAAGAAATTAGGTAGTGAGGGTAGGACAGGGGACTGGTTATATGGGTTGGGGCAAATGGTCAGCTAAAGGTGGTAATCTATCTTAGGGAGGGGAAGGGCGTCATGGGATGCATGATTATAAGGGTAGGGGTCGCTAATCTGTCTTGGGGAGGGGGAGGGCGTCACAGGATGCATGATCACAAGGTTGCGGTCATTTATTACAAACAGGCATGATCATCAGGGTGGGGAGTATTGGCTGTAATCAGAGGGGAGGGTGCAGTAAATTACATTGTTACAGGGGTGGAGGTCTTGAAAAACCCAGTGTCCAGTGGGGGGATGATTGTTGCAAGGCTGAACAGGAACAATGGTTGCAGGTTGCAGCAATTCGTTGAGGCCAAGAACAAGTTGCTTTACTTCCTTCTGTGGCCAACTGGTTACTTGTGGTTACTTCAAACTTCCTGGCTTCTGGTGACCATCCAGAGGTGTACGTGTGGGTCACCAAGGCTATAATGGCCAGGCTTGGACTTGGAGGCCTGACACTAAGGAAGTAAAGGACTCCACAAGGTGAACTGTCCAAGGTCACAGGTGCCCAGTGCCCTTCAGATCTGGCTGAGGCTCTGTGCAGAACAGCGTTTTTCCTGGGTGGCAAACACCATACTTTGATCCCCAGCCATTCCCAGGAACCAAAGACACTTCCCCTGGGGAGGGAATAGGAGACTGTACAAAATGACAGAGCCTCCAGCCAACCAGAGGTGGTTTACTCAGACCCACCCTCTTCCAGGGTGTTGCCAGCCCCACTCCACCTTGGGGCCAGCTTCCCAAAAAGGTCCCACCCCCAGCAGGTCCCGTGCAGGCAGTCCATCCTGACTGCTCTTGTGGGTGCAGCTCCTGAGGCAGAGGAGCAGGAGCTGCTTGGTCCAGGTCTGCAGGAACAGGCCATTTCTTCCCTGGCTCTGAGCTGGGAAAGTTTGCTCCCAGCCATCCTACCACCTTCCCCATATGGCTCTCGAGGGACTCAGGTGAGTGGGGGCAACGGTGTGGAGAGGAAGAAAGTGTGGGGACAGCTGAGCTAAGAGGGATCCAGTCTGATGGCCAAAACAATACCAAGGGGAGGTGCCAGAGCCAGCCCTGGAGTGTACTAGCTGAGCCTCTGGTCTTGGGGAAAGGCCGCTCCAAGAGGGGACGTTGCCCTAGGAGAAGAAAGGCAGCTCCAAGAGGGGACATTGCCCTAGGAGAAGAAAGACAATCCATGTGGATGGACATTGGGGTGGGGGAGGCTGTATTCCATGAGATTTTGTAGCCAATAAAAAGTTGGATTTCTCTTGCTTCTCTTAATGCCAAACTCCCTTGGTGAGCCAGAAAGCAAAGGACCAGGGGCACATTCCCTCCCCCACTATAACTGAGAGCTCCCTCTATCCCCACTGGGACTGATGGTCCAGAACTAGGAACCTGTGCCCCCTTAAGACCTACTGACTAATCTTTAACCCTTTCTTTAAGGCAAGGAGAGTGGGAAGCAGAGCACAGGGTGGAGCTTGAGGGACCACTTTCTGCAGGTAGTATCTGAACAAGAAACGTGGAGGAGTGGGCCGGTCAGGGGCCTCCAGAGACTAAGGGCTCCCAGGCCAGGGGATGGGAGGGGCAGGAGGAGCTGGTGGGTCCTACCACAGGAATTCACAAGGCCTGACCACAAGAATTCACAAGACCAACTCTGCCTCTGTGCCCTGGCTGAGGCCCAGAGCCCAGAATAAGCATCGGTTTGCCTTACCCTGGTTGGGAGAGGCTGGTGAAGAGGGTGGGACAGCCACAGAGGGAGAGAGAGACCCTCCGGCCTTTTCCTGCTCCTGTGGCCCCTTACACAGCATCTCGTGTACCTCCCACAGTGCACCTCCTGAGGCAGCCTTGCCAGCTGCCAGTATGGGATTTGACCAGGCTTCTAGGAACTGGAGAAGCCCAGCTGCAGTCAACCCTCCAGGAGCTCAGACAGGAGCTGAATAATAAGTGGGGAGGGGAGAAGCCAAGCACATGGGGAGAAATAACAGGGTTGGGACCCTTGTGAGAGGAGCCTCGGGGTTGAGCTAGGCCCAGGTCAAATGGAGCCCAAATGCCATGCTGGAAGCTCTGGCTGGTGGATCTGACTGTCCTACTCAAAGCCCAACCCCACCCCTTACCCTCCGTGCAAATGCCTTGGTGTAAAGTGTACACAACAGGAACAGCAAATGCCTACTGAAGGTGCACCCTGTGAACCTGCACTAGGTTGGGGGTTTTTACCTAAAGAACACAGATTCTTATTGGAGGAGAAACACACTGATCCCCAAAGGGTAGAACTAGGGACTGGAAAGCCTGGTATCCCAGGAGGCAGGGAATGGCTAGCAGGACCCTGAGCTGACAGGGAAGGAGGAGGGTGCTGAGGTTGGGGAGTGAGCCCTGGGGAGCCCCCAGGTAAGAATATCCCATGTGCTGCCTCCTCTCCTGCTGCTGGAGTGCAGGCCACGTGCGCAGATACACCACTGGCCTATAGGACTCTGGGCAGTTCTTTTCACTTTCTGGACCTTAATTTTCCCTTTATGGAAGAAAATGAAAACCAGGCCCCACCTGAGTTTGTTATGTGTGCAGCAAAGAGGGAGGGAACCAAACCTACTCCTAAAAGATGTGGCAAATCTGATTCACACCAATAAGGCTGCCCAGCCTTGCAGAGGTGAGCTGTCACTCAGATCTACTCCAAGCCTCTGCGTGTCCTCTCTCACACAGTGACCCTAGCCCAGCCCTCTTGCTAAGTGCTGCCCTCAGGTATGATGTGTCCCCTGGTCAGTGGTGTCCACGCGGGTGTCCCAACTCAGTACTTCTCAAGCTGCAGTTTGCATTTCCTTTATTTTCTGTGTTCTCAGTGAGTGATCCCAGTGACCCGAGTGACCTCTGCTCTATCCCCTGAGCAAGTGATTTAACCTTCTAAGCCTCAGTTTCCTCATTTATAAGCAGATATCAGCACAGCATCTCCTTCAAGGGGTTGTGGTGTGCTTTCAACAGGACAGGCACATAGAACGCTTGGCCAAGTGTCCTCTCAGTAAGTGTCTGGGATTATGTGTGAGGAATGCAGACAATCCTGAAGAGAATAGTTTTAAGCAAAGGAGTGCTAGCCAATTCGGAAGAGAGAATGAACACAAATAACTCATTCATCATTTCATTCATTTGCTGAACAAATAATTATCAACAGCATGAAATATAAGGCAAGCTCTGGGAGTTGGTACCCGGAAAACAAAGGCTGGCAAAACAGAGAAACCTGGAGCCTAGTGGGGTAGAGAGTCCCTGGCATCACTTGGCAAGTACTGGAGGAGAGGTCTCAAAAGGGACAGAGGGACATGCTGGGGGAGGGACCTAAGACCAGATATCAAGGCTGGCTTCAGACAGGAGGAAGCTGGGTTCTAAGGAACAATGTGGAACTTGTTGGCCAATGGCAGGAAGAGAGCAACCAGAGTGGAATATGGAGGTGGGGAAGCCTAGGAGACTTCATGATAAAGGGTGAAGAATGCAGACCGAGAGGCAGGGTCGGGGGACTGTTACAGGACTTCAGATGGGAAACAAGCAGGCACCAACAGGGCAGTGAGGGAGGCCAGGAGGAGAGCTTTGGGAACTAGGAAGGAGGCAGAAGCAACAACTTGGCTGTCAGGAGAAAGCAGGGGTCCCACTTGGGTGACTGAGATAAATCACTGAGAACACGGGATGGGGAGAGTGAGTGGGAGGATGAGGGAAGACTGAGTGGGGGGACGGGGAGAGTGAGTGGGAGCACCCACAGGGTTAGCTGATGGGCTGCATGTGGGGAATTAAATTATTTGTAACAGTATTTTTATTTAACCCAGCACATCCAAATTTATACCTGTTTCACTGTTTTAATGTGGCTACTAGAAATGTTTAAATTACGTATGTGACTCACATTATACTTCCACTGGATGATGCTATTCTAGATCTCTTCCTATGCATCATGAAAGAATGCTGCTATACATGCCTGCCAAGGCTTGGGTTCACAGGCGCAGGCGTTTCCCCCCCCCGCAGAAGCAAAGTCTGCCTCTCCATATTGGTGTTCCTTCCTTTTCACCTTAACACATTAGGGTCTCTTTTCCAGAGAGTGTAAATAAATCTACCTCACCCTTTTTAATAGCCATTATGCAAGTTGAGTACCCCTCACCCAAACATCTGAAATCCAAAAATGTTTGAGCACCAACAGGACATTCAAAGGAAATGCTCCCACTGGAGTATTTTAGATTTCAGATTTCCAGATTAGGGATACTTAGCCAGTAAATACAATGCAAATATTGAAAACAACAAAAAAGTCCAAAATCCAAAACATTTTTGGTCTAAACTGTTGGATAAGGGATACCCAACCTGTACAGATAGGCCTAATTCATTCATCCAGTTCCCTACTGAGGAACCTGAGGTTGAGGCATGAGTTTGCTTTTTCAGACAAGGCTACAGGAACATCCTGGGACTACTCACTGTGGGGTCTCCGTTCCGAGCTGCAGGCACGCTGGCCAGAGGCTGTGGGCACTGACAGTGTTACAGTGGAGGGCTCGGACTTGGAAGGCTTCTCGGGCATGGTTAAGAGATGTGGATGGTGTCCTGCAGTCAGCAGGAAGCCACAAAATAACTTAATTTTTTTTAATTGCTGACTTTGAATATTTCCTTCATTAAAAAAGCAACATATTGTAAATACATTACAGACAATTGGGGAGAAAATAAGAAACCATAATTTTATTGCACAAATACATTCTTCCTTTTAGTCTTATTTTCTGGTATGTTTTTATTTTTGCTAAATTGTAATCAGAGTGCACATCAATTTTAGATCCTGCTTTGTTCCTTTAATGTTCCTGTGTGAGCATTTTTCTATGTGACCACAGACTCTTCCTAACACGTTTATTTAGCCAATCCCTTCAGCTAGACACTAGAGTCTTCTTCAGTTATGTTTGAGCAGCTCAGATGATGCCTCTGCCTGTGACCCAAAATGCCTTCTCTAAGGGTGCTTTCCTGGCAGCATTCAACCAACCTCGTCTCGCTTGTGTAAGGGAAACAAGAACACACCCATCAATACAACCCCATCCCCTCTAGCTGCCACACTGTCTCTTTCCTTGTGACAGCCCCACTCCCACCCCACCCATGTGCCCCTCCTTAAGTCCTCTACCTGCTCAGTCTCCCTCCCATTCCCACTTGGTCTGGGCCTGGGCCCTGGCCTCCTCTCTCTCTGGACTCTCTTCCTCTCTCCCATGACATCCCTGCCCTCCTGGTAAGTCGTAAAACTTTCTCCTGAGCCTGCCTGCCTTCTGGGCTTCAGCCCCCTTCCTCCAACCAGACTACCAAGCATCTTCTTTGTGGTCCCCCAGCCCCGTCCCTCTAACCCATTACCAAGTCTGGCCCATGTGCCCTCCTAGACAGCCCTTCACCTATTCCGCCCCATCCAGCTACCAACACCCTGGTGTTGCTCCTGATGCCTCCCAGGGGCTGGCACCTAACTCATCTTCCTGCCTCCAGCAGTGCCTTCCCTGCCACCCCACCATGGCCAGGCTCCAGATTTCAGTGGGAATACGTTAGGGTAGTGTGTGTGTGTGTGTGTGTGTGTGTGTTCACCTAACTCATCTTCCTGCCTCCAGCCATGCCTTCCCTGCCAACCCACCATGGCCAGGCTCCAGATTTCAGTGGGAATATATTAGGGTTTTTTTGTTTTGTTTTGTGTGTGTGTGTGTGTGTGTGTGTGTGTTCAAATAAAAATCTGACTGAGTCACTCCCTAGAGGAAATACCTGTTCCCCTGAAGTCCAATCCTCCGAGCCTGAAATTCGGGCCCCGGGTGACCTGGCCCGGCTCACCTGTGCACCCTCATCCCTCCCTTCTCATCTGCTACTACTCTCTACCCTGCAGTTCACAGACATTCCAAGAGTAAGCCTTCCTCGATTCTGCACATTATGGTTTCTTTTTCATGAACTGCTCTTCCCCCTCCATGCTTTCTTCACCTGAAGAACTTCTATTAATAATTTTTTAGGTCCCAGCTTAGAAGTACCTCCTGCTCCAGGAGGCCCCGACTTCCTCCTCATCTACCAAGACTCAGGTGCTTCCCTCCAATTTGCCTTACAGCATCTGGTCTTTTTCCCAATCACAGAATTCATTGTGCTGTGTTCCATGCATCTATTTTCAGTCTGTCATGTGACCCATTCCCTCACCCCTCCCCCACTACACCCACATCTTCCTGGCTCCATACCCTGAAGACAAGGTCTGTGCCTCATTGACCTCCGAATCCCCAACTTAGCATAGTGCTTGAGGCTGAGCTTGTGTCCAATAAATATATTGTGAATTCAGAACTTAACAGAAACTGATGAACATCTTGATGCATAAACTTTTCTCATTCTGAAGATTATCTCCTTTGAACAGATTCCCAGAAGCTGGGAATTATTGAATCAAAGAATATTAAATAAACACTTTCAATTCCCATAGCTTCATAGCTTTCCAAAAGGCTGTGGCAATTTACACTTCCACCAGCAAGTCTAAGAGTGCTGATCTCACTGCATTCTTGCAGCTTGGCTATTCTCATTATGCCTTTTTTTAAAATTAAGACAGATTCTCCCTCTGTCACCAGGAGTCCAGTGGCATGATCATAGCTCACTATAACCTATAACTCCTGGGCTCACGCGATCCTCCTGCCTCAGCCTCCTGAATAGCTGGGACTACACATGTACACCATCTGGCTCATTTTTAATTTTCTGCAGAGGTAGGGTCTTGCTGTGTCACCCGGGCTAATCTCAAACTCCTGGCCTCAAGTGATCCTCCTGCCTTGACCTCCCAAAACACTGGGATTACATGCACAAGCCCCTCCCAGCCCCATTCTGTCTTTTTTTAAAGTGCTCATTTTACAGGTAAAACATACCACCACCTTGTTCTAATTTGTATGTCTTTGATTACCAGTGAGGGTGAACATTTTTCCATATATTTGCCTATTAAATGCACTTCATCTTTGAGGATTTACCTGTTTGTATGACATGGAACCTGTTAAGGGAGGCTGACTTGTCATGAGGTGACTCTGGGGCTGTGGAGGAAGTGACTAGGAGCATGAAGAGTGCTGCTGCAATGATTCCGTGATGGAGGAGTAGGCCAGGGTCACTCTGGGCCATGGGGAAGAGCAGGAGGGGCAGACATCAAGGAGACCAGGTCAACCTGGGACTGAAAGCAGGTGCAGAGCAGGAGGGGTGAGGGTGTACCCAGGTTTCCGGCTCGGCGTGGTGAACTGGAGGAGGTGCTGTGCTTGGAGACAGTGCGCAGGTGGATCCACACACCTGCAAGGCAGTTCTCAGCACCCTTCACTAGACACACCTGCCGAGGAACAGTTACGTGGGGCAGCAGGAGAGGCAGGGGCAGGAGGGTCTGAGGCTGGCAGGCTTCTTGAAAGAGACCAGGGGAGCCAGGTTTTGAAAGGATTTGTAGGGCAGGGAGTGGAGTCAGGAGGCTGCCCAGGGGACGATCAGGGTGTGCTCAGCATGCAAGGTTATCATGAGCTAAAGCTAAGTGAACTATCGAAACATAAGAGGCCTTGTTCTCATTGCTTAGCTTGTGTGAATGCAATGACAGCCCTAAAGCAGGTAGTGTTCTTATTATCCCCATCCTATAGATGACACTGATGCGCAGAGGACCAGACCTTGCCAAGGGTCAGACAGCTGAGTGGTAGAGTTAGGATTTGAACTCAGGGCTCTGGCCCCTTTGTCTGTGCTCCTCACCATGTGGCTGCAGTTGCTCTAGATAAGTGAGCACTCAGGAAGGCTGGGGGACAGTGGAACAAGCTCCCCAGAAGGAGCTTATTAAGATTCTCAGCATTTGGGGCCCTTCCTGGAAAACAATGAACTGTGGACAAATCCCAAAGCCCATTTGCTCTGAGCCAGGAACTGGGCTGCTGAGCTCTGCTTGGAGGAGTTCACCTGGCTTGGTGACTGGAGCCACCACAGACACCTGATCTCTGACAACAGCCAGCCCAATAACTCTTCTCTAAGTCCCAGACAGCTCTTAACCCTCAGTTACTGAGGCGAGAGGGTTGATTGAGAGAGCGGCCAAGTTGGAGACAAGGCTGCGCAACATAGCAAGACCTCATTTCAAATAAAAAGCAATTAGGCATCTATAGTCCCAGCTGTACAGAAGGCTGAGGTGGGAGGATAGCTTGAGCCCAGAAGTTCGAGGCCACAGTGATCTGTGATCACATCACAACACTCCAGCATGGGTGACAGAGTTATGCGTGACAGAGTTAGGCTGTTTCTAAAAAAAAAAAAAAAATCTCCAATCTCCCCATCACTGAGCCACAAACACCTGTGCATCCTCTCCCGGCCTCTCCTGTCCAAGGTCAGTCCCACCCTCCACTCGGGATAAGCACCTCAACCCCTAATGTTATCATCCCCACAACCTGCCCAAGGTCATGCCCTGCAGCACTGCTGAGGAAAACAAAGGATTAGGCATCTAAAGGTTCATCCTAAGTGACCTGGTTAGCTACTGTGGAGGCCAAGGCAACTTCATCTTGGAAGATCATCTGTCATGTTGGTTTCTGATGAACCCTGGTTCCAGGGAGCTCCCCAAGATTTCCAGCATATCCACTGTTCTTTGTGTAAGATCACATACTTACTATACATCTTGCCCTTGGGTCAAAACAAATCTGATGTTACCATACTTCACTTGTCCTACACATCCCTTCTGAAGCACATGCACCCTCTCTCTGTGGTACATAAGCCCTGGGTCTGGGGGCCTGTAAGGTCTATGGATGTGCTTTGGTCAAGGAATAGGCCGAGGCAGACATCCGGGCCAGAGTGACTCAGTGAGTTTAGGGCACAGGAGCATATTCCACGTGTTATGTAACCTGTTCAAGTTCATACTTGGCTCTGAGCCAGTGTTGTCCATAGAAGGTATAACTGCGCTGCTGTGCATGGGGCTCAGTTCAGTGCAGCAAGGCATGGCACGGCACAGCTCATGCACGTGCCCAGAGAGAGAATAACACTACTAACCCCTGTAAGGGAGAGCCAGTCTCCTTGAAGGTGGGCAGGGAAGCCAGGCACTGGCTTATGCCTAAGGGGAAGGAGTTAAGCTGCTGACCCTGACAGAGCTGGCCTTGCAGGCCAGGGAGTACAGCTGCAGACATAGGGGCGTCAAGAACCTCAGAGACAGTTGTTGAGAGGAGCCACAGAGCCGGAGCAGATGGCCAAGATCAAGGTGGACAGTGAGAGAGCTAGTGTGAGTAAGCTGCTGCTGAGAGAGCTGCTGAATAAAACTACCTATCACCTGCCTACAGCCCCAAACTGTTCTTTCAGCTCTTTGCCCATCCACCCACTCCCCTCAGACCTCAGCTGGGGCTGAAACCTGACAAGGGCGTAGTCATGGCATAACAAGGGTCATGGCTCGGGGATCCATCATCTGGTCTCACAGCCACCTGAGCCATTTAAATCCCTATTAAATATTTCTTTCTAAGAAACTGGACTTGACAGCCTCTTCCTCTGTCCTCTCAGCTTCCTAAGACTTTGGGGGCAGGTTTGCATAGGCCTGCCCCATGTGAAACAGGTATATTATGCTGTCTCCAATCTATATCACCCTTGGCAGCTGACAAGGGTGAGGAAGTTCTCTGAGCACTGAGATAAAATAACCTCAAAGTAGAAAATGAAAGGTTCAGAACACTGTGTCCACCGTGCTACCATTTGTGGCAGGGTGGGGGAGAAGAGAGAGTATTTGCTACCATATTTATATTTATATTTGCATCCACATTACATAGACACATATGCATAGACTGTCTCTTGAAGGACACACAAGAAACTGGTAACACTGGACACTTCCATGCAGAGGAACTGGATGGCCAGAAGTAGGAAAGACTTTTCATGTATGTCTGTGTATAAATATGTGTGTCTATACATATATATGAGTTGCTGATGCCCTCCCCCCACCTCTGCCCCCAGGGCCTGGAAGAGAATTTTCTGGCGGCAGATCCTACCTGCACTTGGCCTTTTAGGCCTGTTCCTGTATGGCCTCCCTAAATTCAGGTACAAGCCCCTTTCCCCAGCACTTGAGGTGGGACCAGAGTCAGGGTTAAAGGGGATCTGAGTGCCTCCTTGATGGATGAAGGGTGGTGGCTAGCTCAGCTCAAGTGTCCTTGTGAGCCCTCTCTCCTTGTAAGAAGCAAAGCCAGAGGGCTCCTGGGCAGGCTGACATGCTTCTCACAGCTGCTCACCCCCTGCCATAGACATCTGGAAACCTTCATCCCCATGGGTGTCTGTCCTTCAGCCACAGTGTCGCTGCTGAGAGATAACTTCACAGGTGCCCTGCGTCCCTGGTAAGAAGCTCCTATCCCTCCCACTCCAAGAGTACCCCCAAACCCTACAGAGCTCTGCCCCATGTCCCTGCCCTCCTCACATCTCCCACCCCAGCAAAGCCAAGCACTGTGCCACCAAACCCAGCAGCCCCCATTGGGCTATATGCCTCCCAGTCCTCTGTGTTGCTCTGAGCTGGAGGTTTCCAGGTGCAGTAGCTAGGTCTCATCTGTCTGTGGGTCCCTAGGGCTCAGCACTGGGGAGGTGGCAGTGAGCATACACCAAGCAGGTGGATGAATGGAGCTCTTTCCCATCCCTGCTCTCGCCAGGGCCCGGCCTGAAGTTCTGACCTGCACCCCCTGGGGGGCTCCCATTATTTGGGATGGCACTTTCGACCCAGATGTGGCCCAGCGAGAGGCTAGTCAGCAGAACCTCACCATTGGGCTGACTGTCTTTGCTGTAGGCAGGTAAGGCCTGGGAAGGGGAGCAGTGCTGTCAAGGCTGGGAGTGGAAGGGGTGTGCATGTGATGGAGGAGGTGGGGCACCCTGCTCCCTGTGCCGTGGGATCTCAAAGTGAAGTAAGAAGCAAAGACAGCACTTCTTGACCCATGCCCCCAGGGTAAGCACAGGACCATCCTTCTCCTCCCTAGACACCAACACCATAGAGCCCACCCAACACAGGCAGCCAGGGCTGTTCTAGAAGCGCATCTAGAAGGGACCTGCCTAGGGGCTGGGACTGATCCATCTGGAGGCACTGGTTTTGTAGTGAGAAAATGATGGGATCTTTCCGCTGAGAGTGGTGAGAGGAGGGCGGTGTGACTGGTAAGTAGAGGAATGGTTCACCATGGCAGGTGCCCAATGGAGGTCAGCAGCTCAGGTGCAGGTACACAGGATTGGAGGGGGTGCCAACCAAGTCTGATGGAGGGAGAGGGGCTGGGGGGACTAAAGAGGATGGGGCTGACAAATACTGAGAAAGTGGCAGGGTCACCAGATGGAGGATTCAGTGAGGTAGGACTGTTTTGGGCGGGGGTTGGTAATCACAGTAAGCGACCTAGAGAAACCATGGTCACTCTCTCAACTTGGTCTTCATCAGCATCTGTTCCGCTCTGTTCCTTTCCTGCAGAATCACTGCAGGAAAGGAGGTCAAGAGAAGAAATGGCAGAGGCATTGACCTCCCCACTACAGATGACAGGGAGTGTCTAAGCTGGGTGTCCACCTTCCTGAAGTGACACGAAGGTTGACTCTTGGCGGTCAGATCCTATAACCTAGTTTCAGGCAACTAAAAGAAGCATTTCTAAAAATGGAACCAGTTGCTTTGGGAAGGTGGTGAGAGCCTCCCATATAGGAAGAGATACTCAAAAAGGATGGGGAAGGAATTTTGTTACCAGATGCCCCAGACAACCACTCAAGGCTCCTCCAACTCTGTCCCCCATACCCTACAAGCAACAGAAAGCCAGGAGTGCCACTGACAGGCAAGGGGATGAAAAGGACCAAGGCGTGAACCGCGGACCAGGTGGGCAGAATTGCTGGGCCACTTGGACCTTGGCCTCTCCCAGGACCTCGGTGTTCCACTTCCATCTCACATGCTGAGTTCCTGCCCCACCCCTAGGGGTCAGACACTCAATGTACAGAAAATTCTGGGATCCTGAGGTCCTGAGTTCCAAGATTCTAAGTCCAACACTCTGGGATGCTGAGTACCCAGGTCTCTGATTCCCATTTCCCACAGTCACCAGGAATAGACCAAGTGTAAGTAAAGGCACAGGCTCCAAGGCCAAGCTGGGTCCAAATCCAGGCTTTACCACTTACCAATGGTACATACAAGTTTCTAATGCTCTTTAGATGAGACAGTGCACATTGGCTTAGAAAGCAGTGGCTGACACATGATCAAAGTTCTAAGTACTATTAGGTACTGTTACTATTATTTTAAAATCCTAAGATCCCAAGGTCTGTTCATACAGTATTCCAGGCAGCCTCATTATCGATGTAGTGAAAGACAGTGACTTAAAACAGCTTATTATTATAGCTCCTAAAATAATTCTGTGGAGGGCCAGCTGCAGTGGATCTAGCCTGTAATCCCAGCACTTTGGGAGGCCCAGGCAGGTGGATCACCTGAGGTCAGCAGTTCAAGACCAGCCTGGACAACAGGGTGAAACCCTGTCTCTACTAAAAATACAAAAAATTAGCCAGGTGTGGTGGCTGAGGCCTGTAATCCCAGCTACTTGGGAGGCTGAGGCAGGAGAATCACTTGAACCCAGGAGGCAGAGATTGCAGTGATCTGAGATTGCACCACTACACTCCAGCCTGGGCAACAAGAGCGAAACTCCATCTCAAAACAATAATAATAATAATAATTCTGTGGGTCAGGAATTCAGACAGTGCTCAGCAGGAAGGGTTCATCTCCTCATGCTCCCAAATGTCTGGGTCTCAGCTAGGAGACCAACTGCTGAAGACTACTGGGGCCAGCTTGGGCTTCCTCACTCAAGGCAGCACCCAAGTTCTGGGACTTAAGGCTCAGAGCTCTAAAGAGAGAAACACTCACTGCCAGTCCTCCAAAGGGCCAATATGAGGCAGGAGTGGCAGGCAATTTGCAAGCATCTTCAGCCCAACCTGCCCTGCCCCATCTAAGTTTAAAGGTGCTAGGGTTGGAGGGTCTGGAGGACCAGGCAGCATGGGTGGGGTGGGGGTGAGTTGTGATGGGGTGAGGTGGGTGAGGTTAGGGTGGGGGTGAGGGTTGGGTTGGGTGGAACAAGGGGTAAGGTGGAGGTGAGGTGAGGTTGGTGTGGAGTGAGGTGGGGGTGAGAAGGGTTTGAGGGCTGGGTAGGTGGGAGTGAGGATGGATGAGGTAGGGGTGGGGGTAGGGTCAAGATGGGAGTGGGGCGAGGTGGGGATGAGGATTGGGTGGGGTGGGGTGAGGTGGGGTTGAGGGTTGGGTGGGGTGGGGTGGGAGGTGGGAGTGAGGGTTGAGTGGGGTGGGGTGAGGTGGGGTAAGGGTGGGGGTTGGGATGAGGGCTGGGTGTGGCAGGGTGGGGGTGAGGAGGGGATCAGGGTTGGGTGGGGTGGGTTGGAGTGGGAAAGCCGGCCCCGCCTCACCTCATTCTCAAGCTGACTGTGGCGCCACGTCCTCAGGTACCTGGAGAAGTACCTGGAGCGTTTCCTGGAGACTGCTGAGCAACATTTCATGGTGGGCCAGCGCGTGATCTACTACGTGTTTACCGAGCGGCCAGGCGCGGTGCCCCGCATAGCGCTGGGCCCGAACCGGCGGCTGCGCGTGGAGCGCGTGGTGCGCGAGCGCCGCTGGCAGGACGTGTCGATGGCGCGCATGCGCACGTTGCACACGGCGTTGGGCGGGTGGCTGGGCCGCGAGGCGCACTTCGTGTTCTGCATGGACATAGACCAGCACTTCAGCGGCGCGTTCGGGCCCGAGGCTCTGGCCGAGTCGGTGGCGCAGCTGCACTCCTGGCACTACCACTGGCCGCGGTGGCTACTGCCCTTCGAGCGCGACGCGCGCTCGGCCGCCGCGCTGACGCGAGACGAGGGCGACTTCTACTACCATGCAGCGGTGTTCGGGGGCAGCGTGGCGGCGCTGCGCGGGCTGACGGCGCACTGTGCGCTGGGCCTGGCTTGGGACCGCGCGCGGGGTCTGGAGGCGCGCTGGCACGACGAGAGCCACCTCAACAAGTTCTTCTGGCTGCACAAGCCCGCCAAGGTGCTGTCGCCCGAGTTCTGCTGGAGCCCCGACATTGGCCCGCGGGCCGAGATCCGCCGCCCGCGCCTGCTCTGGGCACCCAAGGAGTACCGGCTGCTGAGGAACTAGCGCCGCCGCGGGCCCAGCGGGCCCGGTCCCGCTACCGTTCCGGGCGTCTTTGGCCCCGGGAAGGTGTGGAGTAGGAGTCACCAGAGGAAGAGATCCTGAAACCGGGCGGGCCCCTTCTGGATGCTGATGGCGCTCTGGAGGGCAGAGAGATACTGGATGCAAAAACTCTACCCGCTCCGTGTGTGCCCGTCCGTGGGAGTGGGAGAAGGAGCTCCTTGCCTTTGGGGAGCTCGTCACTTGAAGAGAAAAATCCCCTTCCTTTACTTTAGCAGTGAGCGAGACACAACTACAGTAGTGCCTCGATCGAGGAGCCTCTCTAGACCTTTCACCTCGACCCTGAGGAATGCAGCTGGTGTCTCTGGAGATGTTTTAGTCCCACCTGCCTCCCTCCACCTCTTTTTTTAATTACGGAGACTGAGGCACAAAGAGGGACCATAACTGCCCAAGGACACAGAGGGTCTGAGTCACTGTGATGTCAGCGACTGGAAAGGTGTGGCTGGCCCCTTGGGATGCCTCTGGGCAGGAGCCACAGGAAGAAACACAGGTGGCACCCCGTCATTGGCTCTGCCCTTTTACCTCCCCTGCCCATAAACATGGTTTGTACATATCTCAGTAATATGATGATAAATTATTCCTGCGCTGTGAGACAAAGTAGCAAATGTAAGAAGCCATGTTGCTCCTTTTGCTTGCCAGCATAATTTCACAAAGCCCTGACTGTGACAGCATATAGCTGTCAAAACAAAAACACAGCTCCCCACGTCCCTGGCTCTAGTTACTATATTCCCTAAAAGCTAAGGGACTCTAGATATATCTATATATAAGGTAATGTCGGTTGGGGTTAGTGATTATGCTTCTATACACTATAACCAGATACACTCTTGCACACACTTAGATATAATTTTACACATACTAAAGCTTCTCTACCTATATATAAACTCTAAACTAAAATACTACATTCAGGCCGGGCATACTGGCTCACGTCTGTAATCTCAGCACTTTGGGAGGTTGAGGCAGGTGGATTACTTGAGGTCAGGAGTTCTAGACCAGCCGGGCCAACATGACGAAACCCCGTCTCTACAAAAATACAAATATTAGCCAGGCATGGTGGCGCACGCCTGTAATCCCAGCCACTGGGGAGGCTGAGGCATAAGAATCGCTTGAATCCAGGAGGTAGAGCTGAGATTGCGTCACTGCACCCCAGTCTGAGCGACAGAGCTCAATAAAATAAATAAAATTAAAATACTACATTCAAAGTGTCCCACAGAATCTCTCTAAAGAGCTGCTGCTGGGCCGTAGGCCTTGGTCGATGGTCCTCAGTAAGACTTCTAAGTAACACTTAACTTTAATTCTTTGAAAACACGTTTTTTCTTTAGTTAATGTTCCCAAATTGTTATTGTGACCTTTCTCCAAAATGATATTTTCTGGCCTCAGGGCTAGCAGGGCCACGTTCAGCCACAGTATCTGCGAGGGAAGTTTCCACATCCATGGCAGCTGTCCAGGCTTCTGACTCCCAGTGGGGAAACACATGCTCTGAATAGGAGTGTGTAGGCATCACACCCTCCAGGCCCTGCGAGATTGGGATTTCATTCACCCTGGCTCTCTTGAATCTTTTATGTAGTATTGTCACCAACCTTGTATTTTATAAGCCTCCACTCCCAGGTGGGGCAGCAATTCTTGCTATTTACCAGGCCCAACTATCAATGGTAAGAGAGATCTGTCCTGTCAAAAGCAGTTCAAAATGTTTCCTATCTAAACTGGGATCAGCAAAACCCAGAAGGCCATCTGGACTCAGGATTAGAGATGAGAATGGGCCAGGTGTATCTAAGAACAGGTGATATGGCTGGGCGAGGTGGCTCACGTCTGTAATCCGAGTACTTTGGGAGGCAGAGGCAGGAGGATCACAAGGTCAGGAGTTCGATACCAGCCTGGCAAACATGGTGAAACCCTATCTCTACTAAGAATACAAAAAATTAGCGGGCATGGCAGCAGGCACCTGTAATTCCATGCTGACTATGAGCTGGGGAAGATATGTGTCCTTCACCCTTACCCTGCAGCACTTACTGAGGGCCACACATGCTGCCCCTAACAGTTACTGAGCCATTTGATACCTGAGGATGAGCCAGTCAGAGATTATGTGAACCAGCTCTTCTTCTAACTGTGTGTGTGTGTAGACAAGTTCCTTACCTTTGCTGGCCTCAGTTTTCTCATATGTGAAATATGGATGCCAATCTCTCTCCCTGCAGGGGTTGTGGTGATGCGCTAGGAAACATACTTGCCTTCCTCTCCTTGCCTGCCCCTTCTCCAGCAAGTTCAGAAGCTGTAGAGGATTTGCCAAAGAACAGTCATTTCCTGTTTTTTGAGACAGCGTCTGTTGCCCAGGCTGGAGTGCAGTGGTGTGATCATGGCTCACTGCAGCCTCAACATCCCTGGGCTCAGGTGATCCTCCCACCTCAGCCTCCCAAATAGCTGGGACCATACGCACGCATCACCTCACCAGGCTATTTTATTTATTTATTTTTTTTTTTGTAAAGGCAAGTTTTCACCATGTTGCCCAGGCTGGTCTCCAACTCCTGGTCTCAAGGAATCTGCTTGCTTTGGCCTCCCAAAGTGCTGGGATTCCAGGCATGAGCCACTCCAGTCATTTCCTGTTTTAAAGGGGAATAAATGGCATGCTCAGGAGCTTCCAGGGTATCAGCTGGAGGCAGCCTTGGGCTGTTGATGGAGATCTTCTTGAGGAGGGGAAGGTTCAAGGAAGTTGCAGGGCAAGCAAACCTTGGGAATAGCTCCCCTCCTAATGAGCCCAGAGGCCTAAGGAGGGGTTGTGGGGGTGGGTATGAAGGGACTTGGATCTGAAGCAGGAATAACAAGAGGGCTAAAGCTCCTTCTGCAGCTGCCTCCATTACCATCAACACTGTCCTTAGCACCTAGAGGGCAGTGGCACTCACACACTCCCCAGGTGAGCAGGTGAAAATCAGACTCATTCCCCTGAGCACCACTGCTACATGCAAAATCTCCACCTGTCCCAGCTGCCCGACCTTGCCAGGGAAGCTCAAATGCCACTCCTAGAAATTCCCAAACATCTTCAGCTCTCTTAGTCAGGGATCACTGATGATAAGGATCACAGATCCATTAGGGCTAAGGGAAATAATAGCAATAATAATATGGACATATATTGGGCCTTACAACGTGCCAGTTCTAAGCATTAGACAGGTATTGATTCATTTAATCCTCACATCCATCACCCTGTAAGTTGGTTACTATTATTTATCTCATTTTACATACGAGGAAACCAGGCACACATTTAGTAATGAACCCACTGTCATACCACTAGCAATTTAAATTCATTGACATGAGAACAAACAGGAAATTAAACATAGCCAGAGGATGAAGACTGACAGGAACAGAGGTTACCCATAGCTCTTATTCTCCTCATTCCATTTCTGCTCTGTCTCTGCCTGCTTTGTTTTTCTGCTTGTACCCAGCTCAACACAGTTACCCCAAACTGCAGTCTACAGGGTTTTCCAGTCACTGCCCACTATCTCCTAAGTTGTTCCTAATTCATGGAATAGGGAATCATACTGGAGAATCAGCTCCATCCGGTGGTGGTCTGGTATATGTCTAGCAGTTGGGGGGGGGGGGGAAGAAAGCCCTGATTTATTGTATTTGCCAATCAATATTCATGGTGTAAATTCTACCATGGCTGATTTTAAGCTACCAATACTAACTGAATGCAGAACTTGGAAGAAGTGTGCACAACTTGCTCATGTGAATCAGAACAGCCATTATACACCACTGGCTGCACCTATGCACTGAGTCACTGAGTCAGGTGTCCACCCCTGGCCAATCAGCTGTAACTGCAGTGGGGTCATGTGACATGAATATGGCTGCCAGAGCCCATCACTTCATGGCAAAGCAGGCTATGGGAGGTCAATTTCAGAGAAAGAGATGAGGCCCCTGATTACTGAAAACAGGCTGGTTCTTGGCTACCCCACATCCATTTCCCCTTCTGATAGTAGCACACTCTGGTTTCCTATTAGGGAACCTCTTGTACTTCAGAAGGTGAGTGTTTCAACCTCTCTGCTCCGGGATTAAAGCATGGGCCCTAGGCCCAAGCCAAACAAGCACATAACATGATCCAGTTAGAACCCGGAAGACCCAATTAGACTTTTACTGGGTGCTACGGCTTGAATATGTCCCCCCACAAAAATGTGTTGGAAACAACCCCAGTGCAAGTGTTGGGAGCTGGAGCCTAGTGGGAGGTGTTAGGTCCTGGGGGCTCCACCTTCATGAATGGATTAATGCTGATTATAAAAAGCCACAAGGGCTGGGTGCAGTGGCTCACACCTGTAATCCCAGCACTTTGGGAGGCCGAGGCGGGTAGATCACCTGAGGTCAGGAGTTTGAGACCAGCCTGACCAACATGGAGAAACCCTGTCTCTACTAAAAATACAAAATTAGCCGAATCTGGTGGTACATGCCTGTAATCCCAGCTACTCAGGAGGCTGAGGCAGGAGAATCACTTGAACCTGGGAGGCAGAGCTGCGGTTAGCCAAGATGGTGCCATTGCACGGCAGCCTGGGCAAAAGATCGAAGCTCCATCTCAAAAAAAAAAAAAAAAAAAAGCGAAAAACAAAGGCCATGAGGCTTCGAGTTCTATTTTTCTCACTCTCACCTTTTGTTTTTTTGTTTTGAGATGAAGTCTTGTTCTGTCTCCCAGTCTGGAATGCAAAGGGTGCAATCATGGCTCATCACAGCCCTGACCTCCTGGGCTCAAGCAATTCTCTCACCTCAGCCTCCCAAGTATCTGGGACTACAGGCATATGCACCCCCACACCTGGCTAATTTTCTTCTTCTTTTTTTTTTTGTAGAGATAAGGTCTCCCTGTGTTGCCCAGGCTGGTCTCAAACTCCTGGGCTCAAGTGATCCTCCTGCCTTGGCCTCCTAAAGTGCTGAGATTACAAGCATGAGCCACTAAGCCTGGCCTCACCCTCTCTTGCTCTTCTGCCTTCTGGTATGAGATGACATGGCATGAAGGCCTTCACCAGATGCTGGCACCAAGCTCTTGGACTTCCCAAACTCCATAACTATGAGACTGGAATTTATCGTGAACAGAACATTATAAATGACCTAGTTTGTGATATCCTGTTATAGCAGCATAAAATGGATGAAGACACTGAGGCTTTTGTCAGAGAGACAGAGGCTTGATTGCTGGAACCCTGTGGACTGCGAGACTAGAGCTGATTACTGAGGGCTCCCATAGGAGCCTCAGGCTGAAGCTAAGAACGGAGTGGAGAGCTGGAGACACATCCTTTGAGCCCTAAAGCTGGCCTGACCACTGTCCTGTTATATAAGCCAATGTTTCCTTGTTTGGACTGGACTTTCTATCACTTGCAGCCAAGTCCTGACACACAAGGACTGTGAGAACTATGGGAAATGAGTTCTCAATAGTGAGCTCCATGGTAGTCCCTTCTGTCTTCCCCATAGTCCTTTCACAGGGCCAGCCTTGATAAACTTTTCTGGCATTACTAAATTTCCTTCATAGGCAATCAAAACACTGACCTCCATGGGGGAAAAAAACGTATGACAGAGACGTTTTGGACTCCCCCTTCAGTCACTAGAATCACTTCCACAAATCAGGCACTCATGATGGATCTCCCCAGATGGTTGGGGTGCCCCTCAGGGAGCAGTGGCCCCCCCCAGATGGTTGGGGTGCCCCTCAGGGAGCAATGGCCCCCCCAGATGGTTGGGGTGCCCCTCAGGGAGCAGTGCCCCCCCAGATGGTTGGGGTGCCCCTCAGGGAGCAGTGGCCCCCCCAGATGGTTGGGGTGCCCCTCAGGGAGCAATGGCCCCCCCAGATGGTTGGGGTGCCCCTCAGGGAGCAGTGCCCCCCCAGATGGTTGGGGTGCCCCTCAGGGAGCAGTGGCCCCCCAGATGGTTGGGGTGCCCCTCAGGGAGCAGTGCCCCCCCCAGATGGTTGGGGTGCCCCTCAGGGAGCAGTGGCCCCCCCAGATGGTTGGGGTGCCCCTCAGGGAGCAGTGGAAGTGAGACTTGGTGGAGCTAGGACATCCAAAAAGGCTCCAGCACTAGGCAACGCTGGGCCAATTTGTGTCACTGACACTACACTGCATTATAGGCAGTGAAGAGCCTCTCTTGGTTTGCTACCCACTTCTTAGGGAGTTGTGAGGCAATCAACATAAAGCACTCAGTTCAGCACCTGGAGTGAGGTCAGCCCACAGTGAGAGGCCACTTCCTTCCAAGTCTGGGGGGCGGGGGAGGGGAGAGGAGCAGTGGAAAGGTGCCCCCCAGCCCCGCCCTCGCACAGAGCACGCCAAACACCACCGCCACCCGGTGCAGGTACAGTTTATTCTTCACAACAGAGAAATACAAAGAGCAGAGGGTTTGTAATTCCTTTGTTTCTTGCCCCCTTTAGTGTTTTCCCCCAACATTTGATTTTCATTTGCTCCCCACCCCCTTTTTTAAATAGAATGCAAACTTCCTTCCTGAAGTGTCTGAGGGGCACCTGCCGTCACCTCCCTGCCTCCGAGATGCAGACTGAGAAGCCAACAGACTGTTTTTTCTTTTTTAATAAGGTAACTAGTTCTAAATATGGTGGCCTGGAGGTCCCATAGGAAAAGCAAAGGGGTGTTAACAGTATGTATAACAGCGTATTTACAGGGAGTAACATGCGGACAAAAAGCTACAATACTGAGTATCAGACGACGCAAGTCAAACAAAGGGCTGGGGGTGGGGGCAGAGGATCCCATGGGAAAAGAAACCCCAGGAAACGTTAAACTGGTAAATCAATGGCGAGTTAAGGCTTAAAAAGTGTATAAAAATAACACAGTTAATATTCAAAACGGAACTCCAGATACAGAATATATAGATGAGTTTCTGTCTAGTTTTCTTTTTTTTCCCGGGGGGGATGTGGGGGGCTTCTCCGGGCTCTGTACATGGTTCCTATATACACGGACACGCATGGCTTTCAGATTGGGGTGTGTCTGTGGGGGCTGGGGGGTAGGGTCTGCTCCTGGGACCCGCCTCCCAGAGGATCCCTTCCCTGCTGAGAGGCCTAGGGCCTGGGCTGGGGATTCCTACTCCACCACAGGGAAGACAACCCCTCCCTGGGCACTGCCCCATCTGGAGGAAATTCTGGAGGGAGGTCCCAACCCCAGGCCCACTCCCTCTCCATCCCCCTGCCCACAGTCTGGGATGGTGGGAGAGGTAGCCGAAAGGTTTCCTGGCCAGCACCGAGGTAGACTGGGATGGTCTTCAGGGCAGCAGGAGAGGGCCAGGTCTTACCTAGCCCATCCCCACCCCATTTCCCTGGGCCCACCCACCACCCAGCCCATCACTGCACCCTTTGGTCCTGTGGATCTCCTGCCCCTCTCATTTCTGCCTCCTGAAGCTGCCGCACCCCTCTGCTCAGTGATGCCCAGGGCACAGCTCAAGAGGTTCGAGCCTGGTGCTCAGGGGCAAAGGATTCACTCCGGCTGCTTCCTGCCCCTCCCACCTTGGGGTCCCCTTTGCAGTCTAGAAACCCAAGCCTGAGCCTTCCCTCAAGACCTGAGGCCATGGCAAGAGAAGGTCCCACACTGCCCTCTGGTTCTCTGCGTCCATCTGTCCGATTCTTTAAATTTCTCGGTCTTAGCAGCACCAACTTCCTGGCCAATAAATATCTTTTCTGTTATTTCCAAAACAAACTTAAAAAAACAAACAAACAAAAAAAAGAAAAACAGTGAAGCAAGTGAAGGGTGGGGAACAAAAAGAAAACTCAACAGAGAGGTTCAAAGTGCTCTGAGATCGTCTTTGGATGCCACCAAAACAGTCCAGAATCTTGCAGTTGGCCTGGCCGCCCCCGGACTGGACCAGGCAGGGCTTCTGCGGACCAAGCTTTCTGGAAGGTTGGGAAGGTCGTGAGAGAGCTTGGTGGTTCCTGGAGGGCCCCCAGAGGGAGTCAGGGCCTGGTGCTGCCTGGGTCTGTGTCTGCCAGTGGGCCGGGTGGGGCGGCGCCTCCAGTGGACTCAGATGAGAGAGATTCGCACCGGGATGCCGGGAGACTCCGTCCTCTGGGGTGAGTGATGGCTCACCAGGTGCTCCACCACCGTGTGTTTGGACATGTGCTTCATCAGGTAGGTCTCCTGTGGGCAGGGGTGAGATTCAGAATAGGGAACCACAGGCAAGGGAGGGAGAAGCTGCAGTTCCCACCAGCAACCACTGGAGGGCTCTTGGTAGACAGTCCAGAGAGTGGAGGACAGCCACAGCTTCCCAGAGTCAGATGCGCATAGGGCATTGGTTCTAGAGACACTGCACTGCTGCCTGGGGTGAGTGCTGGCTGGAGAGCTCGCCCCACAGCAGCGCCCACCTGTGGCTCCCAGGGCCAGGCCCTCAGCCCCTTGCCACCTGACTAAGAGGTTAAGATGACAGAATCTGCAAGGCAGGAAAAAGGACTCCAAAGGGGTGAGTGGGAGCCCCGGCTTGGCTAGCCGATCTCCACTCAGTCCCTGCCTCTCTCCAAGGCTCAAGTTTTCCATAACCTCCTACAACCAGCTGGCTGTAGCTGGGTATACTGGCTGAACCTCAGCCCTGCCTGCCAGGTGGAGCACAGTTCCTGCATCTGGCTGTTGATCCCAGTGACAGTGAAGCAGTAGGCTTGGGTCTGAGCCTAGCTCTGCTAATTTTTTTAATGGTGAGAACTTGGACAAGTCATCTTGTCTCTCTGAGCCTCAGTTTCCTCCTCTGTAAGCAGGTATGGGGGAGGAACAACCTCAACAGGTTGCTATGGTCAGAGATCAAGCCCTTAGTATGAAGTGGGGGTTGAAGGGTCCACTCCTGCCCCAGTCTCTACATTTCCTTTCCTCTCTTTTACTTTTTTGAAGGTCTCACTGTGTCACTCAGGCTGGAATGCTATGGCACAATCACAGCTCACTGTAGCTTCAACCTCCTGGGCTCAAGCAGTCCTCCCACCTCAGCCCTCCAAGTAGCTGGGACTACAGGTCAGTACTATCATGTCCTCCACTGGCTCTGCTGGATCTGACCCGAGGCACTAAGACTGGGTAGGTGAGGCTATGACCTAGGGCTCACTGCAGGCCCAGAAGCCCTTACACTAAGCCGTATCCTTCCATTGGCCTTTACCAGGAGCAGAGGTGGTACTCACACCTGCCACTCCTTGACTTCAGACCTCAATATGCTCAGAGCCCAGCAGAGGAAGCCCTCAAGTGTGGCAGTGACATGCTATTCAATACCAGAGGGAAGCAACCCACAAATTTCTAGCTAGGAAACTATTCTTCAGTGAATAAATAGCCAAGAAAAAAGTGGGGATAAGGGGATCTAGAGATTAAAAGATATACTGACCCACCACAATGTAGGAATCTTATTTGGATCTTGATCTCAAAAGAATAATGTAGGCTGGGTGCAGTGGTTCACGCCTATAATCCCAGCACTTTGGGAGGCCGAGGCAGGCAGATCATCTGAGGTCAGGAGTTCAAGACCAGCCTGGCCAACATGGTGAAACCCTGTCTCTACTAAAAATACAAAAACATTAGCCAGGCATGGTGGTGCGTGCCTGTATTCCTAGCTACTCAGGAGGCTGAGGCAGGAGAATCGCTTGAACTTGGGCGGCGGATGTTTCAGTGAGCTGAGTCTGTGCCGCTGGATGACAGAGGAGACTCTGTCTCAATAAAAATAAAAAAGGATGTAAATACACAAAATCATGGCATTCATGAGACAAATGGGAATGTCAGTGCTGAATAAGGATTTGATGATAAGGACTTCGGTTAATTACTTTTAGGTATTCCAAAGGAATTGTGGATATGCTCAAAAAAAGGAGTCTTTATCGTCAGAGACATAAAGTGAAATTTTTAGAAATAGTATGATGTCTGGATTCTACTTCGAATATAGGAGTATGGATGAGGCAGGATTGGTTGATGGTGTAGGAGGAGATTATGGAAAACTTGAGCCTTGGAGAGAGGCAGGGATAGACTGGAGATCAGCTAGCCAAGCAGGGCTCCCATTCACCCCTTTGGAACCCTTTTCTCTGCAGAGACTCTGTCCTCGTAGCCTCTCGACCCTCCTCTGCCCTTTGGACTCCAGGGAAGAATACATATTACAGACTCAGCACTTAGCAAGTCGCAGCCCTTCCAGCACCTGACAAGTACCGCTGACAACCCTACCTATGATCCATGAACCCCCTCCAGCCAGAGTGACCTTGCAAAATACCTTCCTTGCCAGGCACTGTGGCACACACCTGTAGCCCCAGCTACTCTGGAGGTTGAAGCAAGAGAATCCCTTGAGCCCAGGATTTTGATTCCAGCCTGGGCAACATAGCAAGGTCCCGTCTCTAAAATACAGGGAAAAAAAAAAACAAAAAACCCTCCCTGACAATCCCCTTCCTGTGGCTTCCCATTCCACCTGAAAAAATATCCATATTTTTCTAACAGAGCCCCAAGGCCCCAAATGACCTAATTTCCTTTGAGTTCTTGTAATAGGCCAAGTTTGTTCCACCTCAGGGGGTCCGCACTCAGTGTTCCCTGCATGGAAGCTTCTTTCCCCTCATTCTCTTCCTCGTCCAATTGTCTTCAAAGCTTCATCTAAGTGGTGCTCCCCTAGGTGGTCAATCCGGACCCATCCCCCTTCCCAGCTCCATTCTGTCCTCCCTGCTGTCTTTCAAAACATACTTTTCTTTTATCACAGTGGTTCTCAATTGAGGCAATTTTGCCCTCTAGGGACAAAGAGCCAGGATGAGAACCCAGGAGTGACAGGGACAGAAGGAGCTCCTAGGGAGGACACAAAGGGGCTTAGCAAGGGCCACGCTGTCCCCCGGAATGCAGGACAGCATGGCCCTGCAGTTCAGCCCCACTGTGTCCTCCCTGGAGACATTTTTGGCTGTCACCACTTGAGGAGGGGTTGCTCCTGGCATCTAGTGGGTGGAGGCCTGGAATGCTGCTCAGAACCCTGCCACACACAGGCCAGCACCCACAATGGAAAGGTCCTGCCCAAATGTCCATCTGGACTAGGGCCAAGATGCTGTGCTTTGCAGCAGCTACACAATTTGCCATCAAACAGTTACATGTGCACTTGTTTAATACTTGTCTCCAACAGTAGTTCTTAACTTCCGGGGGGGGGGGGGGGGGGGCAAAAAAAAAAAGCACCACAGATCTGTCTGGCTCATCCTGATGCCCAAGTGCCAGGCAGAAGTGTTTAGTAAACACTGAATGAACAAATAATGGTACTAGCTCAGGTTGATTTGGCGCCACTCTGCCAGCCAACAGCCCTGTGAGTTCATCCATTTGACAGATGGGGAAACTGAGGCTCAGTGACCTCTATGTTGGGGATATGGGGTCTGTTAACTAGAATGTTAGATCAACCAGAAGCCCACACTCAAGCGACTTGCCTGGGGGTGAATGCTGCTTCTGGGTGCCAAAAGGCCCTCGTTTGGGGAAATTCCCACCCAGGGATAGGGGCTGAATGCTATGAGCTTTCCGGGGTGCTCAGGCCTTTCCTGAGATGAGGAGGGCTCTGGGCCATGTCACTATGCCACCTTGTGGCCATGATGGGGATTGTAGCTTCCTCTTAAGAGCAGGTGAAAAACTTCCTGCCACTGCCGTGAGTACTCCAGAGCCTCAAAGACCCAGGCTAAAGGTGAGCAGGAGGCTAGGGGCTCGGCCTGGGGTAGCTGAACCAGAAGTGGGAAGCAGAAGCCTTGGATCTGCCTTTCCCTGCAATCTCAGGGAGTCACTTCCCCTCTCTAGGCCTCAGTTTCTTTGGAAAATGGGAAGAGTCAGCACAGATCTGAAGAGGGGGAGGCAGCTGAGGCCTGGAAGAGGAAGCGGCCCCACCAGGGCAGGGCACAGGCCGAACGACTGGCACTCACCGAGGTGTAGGCCCGCCCACACATGCTGCAGCAGTAGGCCTTGGCGTGCTTGATGGCGTGGGCCGAGAGGTGGATCTGCAGGGAGGCGGAGTCCGAGTAGGCCCGGTAGCAGTTGGGACACTTGTAGGGCTTGTCCTTGTTGTGCTGGCGCTGGTGAGACTGTGGGGCACAGCAGGGGGTCAGGAGAGGAACAGGGGTTCCCCACCCCACCGCCTTCCCACGCTCCCTTGCAGGGGCGGGGGAGGCAGTACAGCACCTGGGGGTGGGAGGCAGGCGGGCACTCACCTGCAGGTTGGAGAGCTGAGTGAAAGCCTTCTCGCAGCCAGGATGTGGGCACTTGTAGGGTCTGTCGCCTGTGTGGATTCTGCAATGGGCAGCCCAGTGAGGTGGAGGCCTCTGACACACACCCCAAGACTGCTTCAGTCCCCAAGTCCTTACTCTAGCCCCTAAGCCTCTCGGTCCCTACCCTGCCCACACTCCCCAGGGACCAAGAGTGAGCCCAGGCGAGAGCTGGGGACTTCAAAGGCCATGGCTCCTCCTTCCATCTCTGGCCTCCACCGCCAGTGTAACCAGAGCCTCCCGCTACCCAGAGGTCCCTGCTGTCTGCGGCCCACCACCAGAGCCCTCACAGAAACTCAGTGCACACCGGTCCTCTCTCAGAAACCTCACACTGCAGGCTACAGACTACACATTGCAAAGAACACAGATGCACAGCTTTGTCGGGACCTTCCCTGCCCACCCAGCCTCCTTCCCTAAGAAGGAGACATCTCCCTCTAATTGGCCCCACACACTTATTTCCTGTCCCATGTCAGGCACATGTCCGTGAGAGCTACGTGGTCACCCCAGTAAATGAGAGAATACAAAACAGCAGGGCCCTTGCTCAGCCCCTCTGTGTCCTCCCAGGGAGCTCCTCCTGTCCCTGCCACTCATGGATTCTCATCCTGGCTATTTACCAGCTGGGTGACCTTGGAGAAAACACTGTGTATCAGTTTCCTTATCTGCAAAATGGGCATAAAAATACAGTCCCTACCTCATAGGGCTTTGTGAAGATAACATCAGATAATGCATGTAAAGGGCTTAGCCTAGTGTTGGTACAAAGTCAGCACTGAATTAACGTTCGCCAGTTATTATTACTCATTCATCCACATTCATGACATTGGGCACCCACACCCCAGGCACTGTGCTAGGTACTTGGAATATATCATAAACAAAACAGACAAAAGCCACTGCCTGGATGAAACAAGCAGAAAGCATGAAGTTAAAAAGGAAATCACATTAGAAGGTAGTGAGTGCTGTGAGAAAAACAAGATGAGGGTGACCATGAGTGCTGGAAGGAGGGGTGCAGTTTTAAACAGGGGTAGGGCTACATGGGGAAGGTGACATTGAGGTAATGACTTGAGGTCTGATGACCCTGTACCTGCCCAAAAGCCCAGCTGTGGACTGAGCAAGGATGTCCACAAATGGAGCTCAGCAGCCTGGCATGCACGAATAGTAGCCTTCCCTGCTTTTCACACTCATGCCTTTGCACCACCTCCCTGGGCATGTCTTGAAGCGTCTGTTCAGGAAAATATCTGTGCCAAGCAGGTGGGCAATGAAATACCAGCTGGGCCTGAACCTTGTTTGCCTAATTTGTTGAGGAGCAAAAGTAGAGGGGAATATCCAGATTTGACCAAAAGGGTGGTCACTCCTTCCTTCCAAGGCTCCAGCCCCTGTCACTGACTGGGTTTGCCAGCAGCCCATCAATGAACTCATCAAAGAATCTAAGGCCCCTATGGCCAGGCCTAGAGCTGGACTTAGGGACACAGGGTTGAGTAAGAAACACTCCCTGCCACCAATAAGCCCACTGGCTGCCATTATAAACACTGACAAAGCCCAAATTCCTTAGATGTAATTCAAGGCCTTCACCTTGAATTCTCCCGTTGGACGGGGAATCCCGAGGGCACGGATGGGTCCCAGTCTCAGGATCAAGGCCCGGGATCTGGCCTTCCATAATAGCTGTGCCAAGAGAAGCTGGGCGGATCCAGTACTGACCACCCCTGTTCTATCTGCACATTTCTGGGTGTCACATTTCAGGATCCCATCCCAGGCTGCTGCCCCTGTCTCTACAATGGAAGGACCTTAAGAGTCATCTGGTCTGAGGCCAGCATCCTCTTCACTTCATCCCATCCTCATTCCCTCTAGGGCTGGAGAATTTGTTTAGTTAAGCCCCCTGTCACTTAATGCCTAAGGACCCCCACGACTCACACTGCCTGTTTTAAACCCCACAGCCCCTTCTCCCCCTGACCTGAAACCGAGTCACAGTGGCCTTGCACTAGCCCCTCTGGCACTGAGCCCTTCATCAGAGCGGCCTGCCCTGACCTGGGGACCAGGTCAGACTCCCCGCAGCCCACCTCTCAGGCAACAAAGACTCTGGCTTCCCAGAAGTCTCTGTACTTATTTTGTCCATGTCTGGTCACTGCGTTCCCTCAGAGGAACTCCCCTGGGCTCATCCCCCACCATCACCCCAGTGTCTCGCATGGGCTCAGCACAGAGGGGATTCCATAAATAGACACAGACTGAATGAAGGAAAGCAAGTTCTTTCTCTCTGAAGTCAATCATTGACAAGAGAAATATGTTCCACATAATCAGCGACTTCCATGCCCCGGGGTATTTCACAGGGTTTGCTGACTGACTGAAAGACAGTGCTCCAGTGGATTCAGGTCATTCCTCAGGAGCCAGCCAAACCCTCATGGCCAGCAAGCTGCCCACTGGCCTCCACCCATGCAAGTGCAATGACTGCCTGGCCTCCTCCTAGACTCCCAGCTTCAGCCTCTCCCCATCTGGCCTTGGCACGGCCGAAGCTGCAGGGCTCTGACCTTGTCACGGCCCAGTCTGACAGATTCCACGATCTCCCTCTTTTTCCATGACAGAATCCATATCCCACTTCCCCAGCTTGCAAGGCCCTTCACATTCTGGCCTTGGTTTCTAAGGCCTCCTCCTCGGCCACTGCACTCCCCAGAGGGGCATCTTACCAACTTCCCCCAGCACACATGCAGATGGAGCCCCCAGCAGGCCTGGAGCCTTTGCTCATGAGTGGGGAGGGCTGTGGGCCCCTCTGCACTTGACCCAGATGATCCTCCCCAGCCTCCACCTACTTCCCTCTCTCAAGGAAGTGTCCGCATCTGCCAGCCTCCCAGGTCACAGTGGCAGGGGCCTGCATCTGCCCACTCCTGTGTCCCTATGCATGGCACCCAGCATGGGGCTAGCTCAGAAAAAGCTTCAGGGAGCAACTGTTGGATGAAGGAAGGACCAGGCTGCCTGTTCTCTTGGCCACAAAGCTCTTATCTTCAGTCTCTGAACTTCAAGTCAAGCCTGAACCCTCAGTTCTAACATGGGAATCCTCTCTTTATATGGCATCTTCCCACTGGGGGGCACCCAGCCCCAGTTCCCACATCTGTGGACAAGTCCACCCTGATTCTAAGTGGTCACTCTTCTTCTGACTCTAAGTCTCACTCTGTTGCCAAGGCTGGAGTGCAGCTGCATCATCTCAGCTCACAGCAACCTCTTCCTCCCTGGTTCAAGCGATTATCCTGCCTCAGCTTCCCAAGTACCTGGGGACTACAGGCCCGCACCACCATGCCTGGCTAATTTTTTGTATTTTTAGTAGACCACCATGGTTCGAGACCATGTTGGCCAGGCTGGTCTCAAATTTCTGACCTCAAGTGATCCTCCCACCTCAGCCTCCCAAAGTGCTGCAATTACAGGTGTGAGACACTGCTCCCAGCTGGTGGTCCCTCTTCTTTAGACAGCACAAGGAAGCTGAGCTGAAGCTAGTGGCCCTGGACTACACCCCCAACCCCCACTGTCCCAGTCACACCCAGGGTCTCCGAAGACTTGGTCTGCTTTCTTGCCTGGCACTGCCATCCCCACGTGCTTCTTCTGCAGCCTGACGCCCCAGCCCCTTCCTTCCTCCTGAACTGGGCTGCTCCTTGATGCACTGCCCTCAAATCTTGCTTCTGCCACCTCTTAGCTGTGTGACCTTGGGCAGGTGACTGCCTCCCTCAGCCTCAGTTTCCTCCTCTCTAAAATGAGGATAATAATAAAGGCTGTAGGCCAGGCGCAGTGGCTCACACCTATAATCCCAGTACTTTGGGAGGCCGAGGCGGGTGGATCACGAGGTCAAGAGATCGAGACCATCCTGGTCAACATGGTGAAACCCCTTCTCTACTAAAAATACAAGAATTAGCTGGGTATGGTGGCGCGTGCCTGTAGTCCCAGCTACTCCGGAGGCTGAGGCAGGAGAATTGCTTGAACCCAGGAGGCAGAGGTTGCGGTGAGCCCAGATCACACCATTGCACTCCAGCCTGGGTAACAAGAGCGAAACTCCATCTCAAAAACAAAACAAAACAAAAAATAAATAAATAAAAATAAAGGCTGTAAGAATTTAAAGGATGTTCATAAAATATTTTTACAGTGTTAGTTTTTAATACATTAATCTCTATTTAAGTTAAGCAACTTATGAAAACAAAGGAAATGTATTCAATGTTTCAATAAAATTATTAAGGATTCATGAATTATCACTTTCATTCCTCAGCCATGAGATGGCTTTGGGCATGTTTTGTTTTATAACTAAAACAATGGTCATAGATATATGAAAGTTAAATATTCCTTGAGAGGACTTCCCCTCTGTGGCATTTTTCAAATTCATTCTCTCTTATGAAAAAATAATAAATTCATACTGTACAGGGATTTCATGGACACCTTGTATATTAAAACACCTTAAGCAGGACCTGGCACACAGATGTTCCTGACAAGGAATAGTTGTCGTTGTCATTATTAGCATTATTATCAGACTTGAAAAAAATAAAATGACACTTTCCCCTGCTGCAATGATCATTAGGCAGGTATAAAACATCACCCAGCCAGGAAAAGAAAAACAAAAGCAAAAACACTTTGCACCCTCGATAAACAGACAAATCCAAAGTCACTCTGTCTAGCTCTAGTTCCACAAACACATAAAACTTTCAGCCATTTCCTATAACTTACTAACTTCCTCCCAAAACAATGGTTTTGTTTGTTTGCTTGTTTAGATAGGGCCTTCCTCTGTCACCCAGGCTGCAGTGCGGTGGCACAATCTCAGCTCACTGCAGGTTCTACCTCCTGGGTTCAAGCAATGCTCCCACCTCAGCCTCCTGAGTAGCTGGACCTACAACACATGCTAACACACGCAGCTCATTTTTTAATTTTTTGTAGAGATTGGTGTCTCACCATGTTGCGCAGGCCAGTCTCAGACTCCTGGCCTCAAGCTCAAAACAATGTTACCCCTGACTCCTGCACTGCGACATCTGCAGGTACCGACAACCCTCATACATACTAACTGCATGA